GTTTTCCCTCCCTAACCTTTTCCAATTCTGAGCCAGACAGGTTCAGAATTATCTGTGTTTTCTCTGTGTAACAGTGGTTTTTAAAACCCCTACTTAAAGTGATTGGTGAGTAATCTTAAATGTTTAAACTCCCTGTGTGTTGTCTTTCTGTCCAGCACAATATGTTAACTGGTGTAGACAATACCTGGGGAGGGCGGGGGGCTTTTTCTCTTCGACTGTGTCCTACTTTGTACCTATGTAGCCCATGTATGTGACATGTCGTCTGTTTAAGGCCGACAAGAACATGCTGACCGGGCGGTTCCCTCTGCAGGGAAACAGCTGTACTGTCTTTCATCTGTCACTGTCATTGTAGAGAACATTCTCTAGTCTATAAAAGACTAAACTGAAATATAAAATCATTCCTGTAGTCAAATAAAACTAAATACCATTGCATACTTCCACAGTGTGGCGGCCATCACGGAGGAGAGTTTTTCAGGTTTTGGTTTTATTTAAAAGATACTTTCCATGTGAGATTTACAACATCTGAAGATTGCCTCACTAACATCTGCCTTTTGAAAACATTTTTTTTTTTAGCCTCACCTCTGAAGGCAATGTTCTCTGACAATAAGTTCTTTGTTAAAAGAGTCTCTCTTCATTGCAGCAGCAAAAAAACAAAAAAAAAAAACAAACAACTTTTCATGACTCGCTCAAGTCTGGGATATAAAAACGTGACTGCTTTATCTCCGACGTGTCAAGTCTTTGAACATTGGTCAGTGCACTAAACTCTCACGAAAATGTACAAAATCAGACCGTGGTCTTTATTAAACACAGTTATCTCAAGGTACTGCCTTATAAGATACATTGTACCTTTGTGTGCCTGCTAGTTGGTTCTCATGAGAGAAGAAAACCCTACATGAAGCCAAAGAAAGAGTGGAGATGTGGGTGAAAGTCATATGTAGGAACGAGATGGATGGAGTTAAAGCCTGAAGACAAATGTTCACCTAATGCAGCCACAAGAACATGTGCTTGGCATTTGAGGAATCATTTGCTTCCGAATAAAATTGAACCACATTAAAAAGTTAAGAGAGTTAGAATAGTTGTCTATATATTTATTTTTCCGGTTTTCACCAGGAAAACCCAGAAGGCTCTTCCCATCAACAGTCCTGGTTTATCTCAGATATCTAAACTATGTGTCCCTGAGATGTTGCACAATGAAAAGCCAAAGTGCAGTGCACCGTCTGTAACTGACTTTGTGTGCATGTTGTTCTCTTAGGGCCCCGCAGAGTTGCTGCTGTTTGTCTTACCACCCGAGCCAAGAGCAGATACACTGTAAAAACAAGCCCTTTTTGCTTCCAACCTACAGGGTTAAATCTTTCCATTTGGATTCACGTGGGGTTTTTGTGGAGGCGTTGCATTAATTTTTTGTGTGACAGATCCGACAAAAGAATAAGGTTGTAATTGCTGGCTTTTGAAAGACTGCAGGTCTGATGTAGAGCAGTCTTGGTCAGTGACTCTTAATAGCAGTGACTCTTAATAGCAGTGACTCTTAATAGCAGTAGAAAAAGCCAATTGAGCAGGTTTTGACACAATCAAATATGTTGAACCCTGCTGTTGTACTTTATTTTAGCTGGTTCCTAATCACTTCAACCGCTGCATGAACAGATCCTGTCAGTTCTTGTCGTCCGCACCTTGACAAACTGATTCATTCATCTGAGGAGCTCATGTTTTAAACTGCAGTTATCAGAAAATAGGAAAGTCTTTGTCAGCATGTAGTTAGTGAATATCTGGTATGTGTACAGAGGAATCAATCAGAGCCATGACTGGAAGCTGGCAGCTAACATTACTGGAGGGTGTTTGGACTAATTCAGCCTTAAACATAGCCTTGGATTCACATCTGCTGGAGGTTGTGTTTTCTAAGAACATATGTACAGGTACAGGTCATTGGGTACAGTACAGAACATATATATATATATATACAGCTGCTGCTCTATAATTGGCTGAACAAGTGTGCCAATGGAATTGCCCATTGGTCGTGTATAAAAAGACAGACACAAGCTCCAAACATGGAACACTGGCTCTTCCTTCCGGCCGAAGACTGAGGCATGTTGAAGAGCAGATGGATTCTCCACTCTTACCACTGATCCCAGTGTTATCACCACAGCTTTGACAGATATTATCAGCTCCACACCAGACACACTTAAACTGCCACACTGCTTCTGCTGCTGTTGCCTCAGTGACTCTCCTTTAGACTAACACTGTCAAAGCCTTTAGACACTGAGGCCAAGTGTGTCCTAAAAAAACCCCAATAGCAAGTACAACAGCGTACAACAGCAACAGCTAGAACAGCAACAGCGTACAACAGCAACAGTGTACAACAGCAACAGCATACAACAGCGTTTTGATGAAACAAAGAAAAAACATTTTATTCTCTTCTACTTAGTGTTTACATTCTCTGTTTGACTTTTAAAATGTCAGTCTACTTAAATAAATGTAGGCTAATCCAGGCATCTGTTACCAATGTTCAGGCCTTAAGTCGTTAAGACTATCAGCACCATGTTCTTATTCCCACTGTGTGATGTTGCTTTTCACTGACTTAAGAAAAGACGTCAACGTTTTTAGGAAAGATACAAGAGAAGATATTCATCATCATCATCTTTACGGCATGTTGGCTGAGGATTATACTGTTCATGGCTGTTAACTTAGACTTCAGCTCCATTCCTTCTGCTTCCTCTTGATGTCATTGTTGGCATCAACTACATCTATGTGTTGTCGTCATAGTAGAGAAAATCTGATCCGTACACAAATTAAACTGATTTACAGCTAGAATTAGTCTGGGTGTGTCTTAAGATAAGGACAGTAGGAAAATATAGTTTTTATCTATTGGTAGATAGATGAAAAATTAATCATGTGATGCTTTTTAAATATGTTAAAAGAACATACTTTTTAATAGCTCTCTTGTTTGTGTGTTTGTCAAACTCAGTGACTGCATGTTCATGTGCTTGTTGGTGTGATGGAGCCTGGAGTGATCAGGTTCATGTCACAGTAGCCTGACGCCCTCGTCACACAAACTACCTCAGTGGTTCCAACCTTTTCTGGGTTGTGACCCCATTTTGACATCACAAATTACTGGTGACCCCAGAGACATTTTAGTAGCTGTCACATGTGCAGTCATGTGATCACAGCCTATTACTAGATTATACTAGATGTTTCAGGTGACCCCATTTAAAATTCAGGTCGTCTCCAAGGTTGGAAAACACTGCACTGGTTCCTGTGGTTGCCTTTATGCTTCAGACATGTGTTCCATCTGGTGGAATCTCAGCACCTACACCACCATTGACCTATCTCTAAGGTATGTCACCCTAACATAATCTTTAACACTTTGTAGGTTAAACCGAGGTGTTATAATAATAAATATAGTATAAATGCAGCCTATGTGCTTCTTATTAGTTAGCAGTTCATGTTGCCTTGCTCTTGTAATGGTATTATGAGAGCAGTACTCACAGACAACAGGAGTGACAGACTTCCATGTTCAAACTAGCCAGTAAATGATTTGACTGTGCTGACAGTTCGTGTCAGCTGGGGGCAGCAGTGGCTCTGTGTGCTGCACTGACTGCGGGGAGTTTAGTGCAGCAGAAAGCCTAAAGCTTTAAAGATCAGAGAAACCATGTCCTCCTCCTCTTCCATTCTCCCTCTTCCTCCCTCCATCCGTTTCCTCGCCTCACGGCCCTGTAATTATGTCACCGTTTGAAGCTTGGCCAATTAGACAATAAAGTCCAGAGCTGTGCTCTGCCGTCCCTCGGTGGTCACACCCTCTCCTGTCTCCTCTGTCTTCACCTCCTCTGTATTACAGTCTCTCCTCTGTGTGTGTAACAGAAAGCAGAAAGCACACGTCCTTTGTTATCCCTCATCACTATCACTGCTATAACTCTAGACAACACACCAGTGACCTTTCTGACCTTGGACTGTGTCAGTAGATAGCAGTGGAAGTGACTCCATGGGATTATTTCTTTTACTGCAGCAGCTCCTGCCTTTTCATCCACTGTTCACTGGTGTTGATCCACCAGTGTCTTCATTTAAAGCAGGCTTTCAACTAAACCAGACACTTTCAGCGTGGCCTCCTCAGCAGATGGTCCTGTGATTTTTAACTCCAGAGAAAATAAAGATATGTTTCTCTGACTTTAATGTCCTGTCTAATTGTATGTGTTGGATTGTAAACGGTGGCTAAAGTTAGTTTGGGAACTATAGCTGGTGTCTGGGGCGGACACAGCAGCCCGGTGTGTGTTGCCCAGTGGTTTTCGACCACTGGCGAGAAGCCTGTACTCTGCAGGAGAAATAACTACTATTGTAGAGCTTTCTCCTTTTTTTTCTTCTTCTTTTTCTTCACTCCCTCCTGCCTGCCCTGCCCTCGTTGCCTGTCCTGCTGATGTAGGGTTTTTAGGAACCCTAGAATTGAGGGCTGTTTTTAGTGGTTGTGTGTGACGTTCTTCGTTATTCAATTTACTCATGTCACCGGGGCAGGAGAGCTATGTTGGTAGCATCCTGGCAAGCAGATCAGTGTGTGGGATGTGTGTGTTTAAACACTGGAGCCACCAGGGTAAATGAGTGAGCATGACTACATTAACAGAGACAAAATCTGTCACCATAAAATTCTAGGTTCTTGCTGGTACGACGTCTACCCTTCCTCTCATAACTCAACCTGTCCAGCGTTTTCCTCCCCCCTCACAGCCATTGTGATATCACCCAAATCTCCCTTGCCAATTGTGCTCATTTTAAAATATAAATAAAACCATAATTTTAGGCCAGTTCTTTCCAGATGCAGGTTTTAACAGCAAACATTATCTCTTTTTATCCTCTTGATTGTGGCCATGTGTGTTGTGGACAGAAATGTCGACAGCACAAAAATCTGGAGTTTGTTTTGAGTCCTGTACTCTAACTTTGATGCTCTGGTCTTATCTCATCAGTATGAAATGTTATCCCGCGAAGCCTTCACTCTATGACTTCATGTTTTCCTCTTCCAACAGCAAATCCTGCGGAACTCCAGATCCAACGCCACCAAGGTTATTTTCCTGATCACTGATGGCTACTCCAACGGGGGAGACCCTCGGCCGGTGGCTGCAGCTTTGAGGGATCGAGGTGTTGAGATCTTCACTTTGGGCATCTGGCAGGGAAACATAAGGGAGCTCCACGACATGGCATCGCAACCCAAAGACCAGCACTGCTACCTGGTGCATAACTTTGCAGAGTTTGAGGCTCTGGCACGTCATGCTCTTCATGAAGGTCAGAACAACAAACGGATCCAACATTAGTTACTGCACACACACACACAGACACACACACAAGACTGAACACAAATAACAAGAATGATATATGTACTCCTAAGTCTAAATAGTCTAAACTACTACTGTGTTCATATTAAACTTTCTCTGCACGTTAAGGTACAAAATCTGCTTCTTCTAAACTCTTGAAATGACAGTCCTGGTGGAGACCAGTGTTTGAAGTCCATTGACTTTGACACTTGTTCTTGGTTTTTATGCCTTGTCCTTTTTTCCCCCTTTCTAATCTTTTTTCCGTTTTTCTTAATACTTTGCTCCATGGAGATAAATAAAAATATTTCAGTTTGAATCCTACTTAGAGTCACTTCCTGGAGTGAAGTCAGTGAACACAATATTTGGAGTCCACTCTGTTTGTAGTTTTTCCTCTGTCTTGGAGTCAGTGGACTCATAGGATCAGCGTCAGTGTAGACCACAGCCTCATGGTTCCTGATTCATTCAAACATTCTAAACGTTAACCTTGGTGATTCTGGAACTGCCCAGCTTCAAAACCCACATCAGGTTGGAACTTAATGCCCACTGATGGATGGTGAGTTTTTCTCCAACAAACAAAGAGCTACAGTATCAGCCCAGACATATGATGGCAGTCTTTGAGAAGATGACACAGACGAGAACTTGACTATAAACCTCATGAGGTTTAGCTGACAGGGGCTGCTTTAGGAAATCTCTCTCAGACATATAGTTGAGGCCTGAGGCTGACAGCCGTAGCCACACCATACACAGTTACATCAGATCCCATTAATGTTGAAGGTTCAGCGACTGTGGTCCGTCATCACCATCCTGACCTACAGCGGTGTCTTTCTGCTGAAGACTCTAACCCTGATAAAATACAAGCATTTACTTAGAAGAAAGCCAGACAATATTTTAAATACTCCGTGACACCATTTTATTTCACAGCAACTCCTTTTCTCTTATGTTTTGCCAACAGCCATTAGGTTTCATGTCGGGGCAAATCGAACAGAGTAGGGCACTTTTCCCACACTGGAGGGGAACTTCCCACAATTTTTGGGTTAAAAAGATTGAACCAGTTGCAGCCATAAAACTTAAAATATCACCGCAAAATATCGCAGTTGAGCACAGTGCTAAGTAGAAGGCTGTAAATCATACACACGCACTTGCAGGCTGTAAATGCATGTTCGCACACATGCTGCGGCACAACTCTGCCAACATTAGCCTCAAAGTAGAGACTTTCTTTCATTTCAGCTTCTCTGCAACAGTCTGTTCTTCCTGCCCTTTAACATCTTCTTTTTTTGACTTCCTAAAGGTAAATAATGGTGTAGTGTGACTGTCAAATGTAAAAGTTCGTTCCTATAAAATGTGAATGTATGTATCTGGGATGGCCAGATTTAAATTTGTGAAAAGTATTGATAAAATAACAACTGGGTCTTGACGGTGCTGGAAAGATGCCTTGAGAAAGGTGTGTAAACGTAGTATGTGGTGTGTAGATGCTGCAGCCTTTTCAAACGTAAACACCGTCTGTGGTCCAAGTGTTTGTTCTCTGGTGTGTTTGAAGTGTCCAGTGATGACTGTCTAACTTTGCCTCCTGCCGCTTTAATTACAGTCTCAATTACAAAAACCCAAAGCTGCCCTTCTGCAAATTACAGTATTTATTTCTCCATCATGACATGAAGTCAATGAACTGCAGCTACCCTGGTATTAAAGGCAGCTTAGCTGTTGGACAAATGTGTTTTCCTGCTCTGAGGAAAAACTGTTGGTTTAACAATTATGTCATTCTGAAAATGACAAGTGTTTTACTTGTTTTTCATGTATTTTCTCTCTTTTCGCCAGTCTTAATTGAATTTTAAAACACCTGATTTTCTGTGTGTGACTGTGTTTTCCTAACCACAGACCTCCCTACGGGGAGCTACATACAGGAGGATCTGTCCCGCTGCTCTTCTCTGTGTGAATCTGGCAGAGACTGCTGCGACCTGATGGCCAGCTGTAAGTGCGGCACACACACTGGCCAGTACGACTGCATCTGTGAGAAGGGACACTACGGGAAAGGTCTGCAGCACGAGTGCACAGGTAAGAAGCAAAGATAAGTCTGATAGAAGTTTGGGCTCGAGGTTTATATGGAGCAACATGTGGTTCCTTTGTGGTTTCGTTTAGAATTTCAAAACGCTTACTCTCTGACTTGGTTCTTGGGCTGGTTATACAGTGTGACAGATTAGTAAAGTTCTACTACTATTAATAGAAAATGTATCTTCATCAGGTTGGTGTATTTTAAACATTACTGTTTATGTTGCGTATTGTTTATGTATAGAGTTTCTTTCTAAACCTCGGTCAAGTCATTGTCCTCAGCATTATTAATCAGTCTACAGTCGGGTACAATTCAGTCAGCTTGTCAGTCATAGACTTGCTGACTGTTCTGATCTCAGTCAGGCTGGTCTGACACAAGCCAGGCCGCTGACCAGAGGTTGAGGCCTGGTTTAGGGAAACCCAGTCTCTTTCCAGCGATATGTATAAATGACAACACGTGTATTGACTGTGTACAACAATGAGTTGACGGGTGGTGGAATTATTGGAGCTACATTTCATGTCATTATGTTCATGGGATTGAATGTGTTAAGAATTTTCATTTGATCAATCCTCACAAATGAATTAACACTAATGTGTTGTTTTTGTGTGATGTGTGGCAGGTTGTTGAACACCTCCAAAATGTACATGATCCAAGTCACCAGAATTTGCACAATGTTTAATTCTGTTTCCTGTCCTTTCATATAGTCCAGCCTTTCTTTGGAAACGCTGTGATTGAGGCTTGCTTTGGTTAGGATTAATAAATGACCAATGTTACCGGTCAACATTGTTGAAAGACTCCACCTAGAACTGTCAGGTCAACACAGTCTTTACAACAACAGAATTACAACACTCTGCCAAGGCCACCCTGTTTCCCAATACATGTCAATGCACTCCCTTATCAAAGTCAAATAAGAGAAACTTACTAAACTACACAACACCCTGAATCTGATCTGTGTTTGAATCTCCACCAAACCCCAACAAGTTCTTCACTGGAACCAAAAACTGATCGAAACTGATCCTGTTACTGTTCAAATTCTGCTCACAAATGGAAAACACCACAGATACATGCAGTGGGGACATCACTAGACTTCATCACTGACTCTACAGTGGTTTGTGATTTTGGCTGGATCTGTTGCATTAGTGAAATGTTCTACACAGATCGATGTTGCTTGTTTCGTTTTCTGTCAGTTCCTCCTCTAAATCACTGCCACTCTCTGTTTGAAACGTAAATAAGCTGCCCTTTGATTGGAGCTGTCCACAGGGCAGATCTGTATCAGTGAAGCCAATAATGTCAGTGCCAGCAGAGGACCAAACAGTCGTATGTTTGTGTGTGTGCGTGTTTAAGACCTTGCTGGCCTCCGCTCACCTCTGACTTTCTGCTGGACACATGACATCCTGTTCTACAACTCCCTGCTTTAAAACCACATATTATGTCTCCATCCTTCTCTGCTGTCATTTTAAAACTAAATTAAGACTTGCTTTACTTTGTCTCCCACGTCTGTCCTGTCCATATTCATCTGTTGAACAAAGACATCTGCTTCATCTGTTGCCAGTGCCCTGCCTTTAGAACTTTTGTCCCTGTGTTATAATTTAAAATGTTACTCCTGACTTGTATTGTATTGGAAAACACCCTAAAATTAAACTTCACCTAAAATTAAACTTTACCTCCTGAAAGGTCTGTGTCTCTGTAATGAGTGACCAACCCCTCAGCTCATGAGGTAAAACCACTCGGCTCTAGCCCATGTAATTACAGAAAAGTAGTTGGAGACTAATGCATCAATTGTATGATGGTGTTTGTGAAGTTTAACTGCTACTATTTTATTGCTAAAGACTAAAGCCTAAATCCTATTTAAAAAAAATCAAGGAATCAAATTCACTTTAATGATGGCCAAGAAATTGGCTTACCTTTAACCAGAACAGTTTTTACAGACCACGAAGAAAATGTCAGGAAATTGATTCAAAATGCCATTGACTAATTTCACTGACCCAACAAAGATCAAAAGACAAAAAAGTATATTAATTTTTTTAGGCCACAATGAAAACATTCCGACAGAAATTAGATCAATTCATATTTGGAATGTTTGGAAAATTGGGAACATTACTGAAAGTATTTGCAAAGCCAGAAGCCAAACAAAGGGCATCAGGGTCAAGGTGCCAGGATCACAGGCCTCCTTAATCAACACCAGATGCTGAAGCCCCACTTTGCTCATTATTCCTGTTTTAACCGCTGTAATTAACAGCAGAGAGCAGAGTTGGCTCAGACGGCACAAGGAAGGAAAGACGCAGTGAGGAGCGTTTCCTCCGTCTGTCCTTTATCTTAGGACTACTGATGGGAACTGAAGTTCCTCTTAGTCCTGTGTAGAGCTCAGGTCGGAGGGAAGCTGTAGATAAGATACGAGTTTGTTACTGTCACTCTGCAGTTGAATGTTGGCAGGGAAGTTTAAACGATACGGATGTGAAGTCCCACATTCCACGTTTAGAAATGAATTCTTAGGAGCATATCTTGGCAGCTCAGTTATTTGTAATAATGAGTAGTTGAACAGGTTAACCTAATAAGCGCAGTGTCTTCAAACCAAATACTTTCACACTGAGAATACCCTGTAACCAAGGATCTTACAAATAAACTCAACAAACTCTACTGGTGTTTTTACCAAAGAAAACAACATCTTGCTTTAATATTTCTGTTGCCGTAACCTCAATGGACTTGGCTGGGGTTGTAGGTGTTGTAGGTACGCCATGTGTTCCGCTCATGCCAGGGTTCTTGAATGGCAAACACAGCCTGGGTCTGAGTGGCTCTGCTTAGTATAAACCTGATCATGGCTGTGTGTTCAGGTGATTTCATTGTTTAGACTGAGGGTCTCTCGCTGCCTCTCAGACTCAGTTGTCTCACATTCAACAGTCTTTGACACATCTGAAAATAATGTGACCAAACCTCAGGCATGTCAGACAATTATTATTATCATTGGCTGAAGGAGTCGTGCTGGAAACACTATCCAACCCGGGCCCTCCAGTGAACAGCAGAATCGTTTATGAATCGACAGCCAAGTCAAACTGCCTCTTCCACAAAACACGACTGGAATCTCATCAGTTAGGAACGGAGGATGAAGCACAATGGTGCGTAGTTTGGCTGATAAAAATCCTGACCTTAACCTCTCAATAAGCCGATCGTGTCACACATGATCACACGATCACAGCAGGCATGGTGAAGTGACTGTGAGAGGTGGAGGTGACGGAGGCTTTTAGGTTCTTTCCCCTCCTGTCACACATACTGGCTTATCAGCTTCTTCTGAAGCCTGAGAGAAAGACAGGAGCTCTGGACTGTGTTACTGTGGTGTCAGCAGTTCTGGCCCAGTCTGTTCAGAGCTGCACTGCTGGAATGAAAAAAGACAAGAAACGATTGTAGATCATCTGAGATGGATCCAGTTTGACCAACTTTGATGGAGTGTGTTGGGAGTGTCTCATCAGTATTTTCTGTGTTCTCCTGCCTGATAATTCATGGTTAGAGTGAATTTACCCAGTACGTGTTTGAGGATTATTTGCATTTTTAGGATGTGTACCGACTTGTTCTGTAAATGATTAAGAACTTAGCGTCGATGTCTTCCTGACAGGACGTCCTTCCTGCAAAAATGAAAACAAAATTTTATTTAGAACTTATTCTGCCAGAAACCTCTTGACCCCAAGAGGAGACGCGTGGCGGTGTTAGGATTTGACTGGACCTCGGACAGAACTGTTTTTTTTTCTTTACTGGTGTGTCTCCAAGTGTCTGGTGCAAGAGGCCTGGGCTGCATGACCACTGTAAATATTTGTGGTCTTGATGGAACAGCTGAGAGATTTTGTGAGGGGGGAAGCCTTAAGGTAGACATAAATACTACAGAGGGATTACAACTGACAGGAGCAGAGGTGGAGAGTTCTGTTCTCACTGTTTAAGTTTTGATATGGGGGGAATGTTGCAATTCTTTCCTCCTTTTTCACAACTTCTTCACTTAAAGATCTGCAGTGAAAATGAAAACCAGTCAAAACAAAACAAGAAAAGAATATAACAACCTAAACTCCTCACTCTGCAGCTCATCTCAGTCACACACATACACAGCAGTTGGGGATTGACACATATGCACAGCCATGCATTTGACAGGGTTCGCCTGCCCACACCTCTCACCCATTAAAATACAACATTCAAGGATGTGACACATGCCAGATGCCTTCGGAGGAGGCAATAGTGCAGAGTCTGTTTACACTGCCTGGGAGCGAACACCCACAGTGGCAAAAACATTACACTAGAAAGTGTTTAATAACTCTGATAACTCTAAACACGCTGATAAACTGAGAACAGACTCACGCTAGTGAAAGTGTCCACCTTAAAGTTCAGTTTGTGGAAAGAACTATTTTAATTATCTTAGCAAAATCCTGCTTGAGGTCCCAAGTGCAAAATGGGAGCTAGAACTTTCTGTCAGCAGGATCTTCTTCTGAACAAACTCCTTCAGCGAGACGTTGAAATCAGTCAGTATCTCAGACAATAACAAACATGGAGAAGATGTTCTGTGTGAAGACAGTGATGTTCTGTGTGAACTCTGCATCGTTGTTCAGGGTGAACATGACCTATACTGCCCAACACTGCCCCCACCATTTCCAGTGGTACTGCGTTTTTTGCATTAGGTTCCACATCGTGCCTTTAACAAACGGAGCTGGTGGTTCCCAAACTAGAGGGCAGCCTCCCCTATTTAGTGTTTAGTGGGCCCTATTTTTTATTTATTTTTTATTTATGTTATGGTCTGTATTGTCATTGTACCACGGGGATACAACGAAACTGAGCCTCTGTTTTTAACCCATCACCAAAGTGAACAGTGGCAGCTTTAAGAACCAGGGAGCAGTGAGTGGAGACGGAGCCATGACAGAGCACCTCAGTGGGAACATGGCAGCTGGTGGACTATTGAGTTATTGTAGGGTTGGCAGCAAAGCAATTCAACTTCAATTTTAATATTCTCTTTATTTGCCCCTCAAATTGATCA